CGCGGACCAAAAAAAAAAAAAAAAAAAAAAAAAAAAAAGAAAAATGTATGTGGTAAATGGATTGGCAAGGGTAGGACTGGAAGCAGGGAGACCAATTTTTCAACCAGGGTTTTTTCCACTCTTCTGGGGATGTTTGGAAATGTGGGGTATTGTTTTTAGTTGTCACAAGGATTAGGACTTACTCTATCATTCGGAGTAGGCTGGAACTAGTGTGGGGCAGTGGAAATGAAGAGAAGCAGATTCAAGATAGAAACAGGATTTGCTGGTAGTTTGGGGGTTGGGAATGAGAGAAGCGTCAATGACGCCTACATTTCTAGTTAAAGCTACTAGATAAATGGTTGTACCATTTATAGAAATAAGGAAGATAAAAATGAATACTCTCTTGGGTGTGTTAAGCCTGCACAATATCCAAAGAAAGATATCAAGAAGGTATTGGGGGCTTCCCTGGTGAAGCAGTGGTTAAGAATCCGCCTGCCAATGCAGGAGACATGGGTTTGGGCCCTGGTCTGGGAAGATCCCACATGCCACAGAGCAACTAAGCCCGTGTGCCACAACTACTAAGCCTGCACTCTAGAGCCCGCCAACTGTTGAGCCTGCATGCCACAACTACTGAAGCCCATGCACCTAGAGCCCGTGCTCCGCAACAAGAGAAGCCTCCGCAATGAGAAGCCTGCGCACCACAACGAAGAGTAGCCCCCGCTCACCGCAACCAGAGAAAGCCCACTCGCAGCAATGAAGACCCAAAATGGCCAAAAATAAATTAATTAATTAAAAAAAAAAGGGGGAAAATGCTTAAGTTTAAAAAGAAAAAAAAGGAAGGTATTGGAATATATGATTCAAACTCAGAAATTTTGGCTGGTTATATATACTTGGGAATCATCAGATTATAGAAGGTATATAAAGTTATAGTAATAAATGAGAAGAAAGAGACAAAAGGTATCAGTCCAACCCCAAAGAAATTCCAGCATTTAGAGGTCAGTTATTGGAGTAAAAGCTTTTGAATGAGAAAAAGGAAGATTAGCTAAGCAATTAAGAGAAAAATCACCTGAAGAGGGTCATGTCATAGAAACTATAAGTAGAGACTATTTCAAGAAGCAATAATCAGAAAGCGAAATTAAAATGGCTTTCAAATATATGAAAAGATGGTTGATGTCACTTGAAGTAAGATTAAACACAAATCAGAACTAAAAAGATTTCACTTTTTAACCTATTAAATTAGAAAAATCTGAAAATTTGATAACACTCTTAGCTGGTGAGGCTGTGGGGAAATAACCACGTTTATGTATTGCTGATGGGAGTGTAAGTTGGTCACAATCCCTGTGGAAGGCAGTTTGTCAAGAACTATCAGAATTAGGAATGCATATGCCCTTTGACCCAGTGAATCTGTCTTTAGGATTTATCCTGCTAAAAAACTAGTACTTGCTATTTGAAGTATAATCCATGGAAAAGAACACATATAATGTTGGCAAGGGTGTGGAGAAAAGGGAACCCACATATACTGTTGGTGGGAATGTAAATTGGTACAGCCACTGTGGAGAACAGTATGGAAGTTTCTTAAAAAGCTAAAATTAAACCCAGAAATGACCCAGAAATTCCACTGCTGGGTATATATCTGAAGAAAACCAAAAACACTAAGTGGACAAGATTCATGCATCCCCGTGTTCGTAGCAGCATTATTTACAGTTGTCAAGTTACAGAAGCAACCTAAGTATCCATCAACTGCTGAATGGTTAAAGAAGATGTGGTATATATACATGATTTATTTATTTTTATTTTATTTTTTTGCGGTACACGGGCCTCTCACTGTTGTGGCCTTTCCCGTTGCGGAGCACAGGCTCCAGACGCCCAGGCTCAGCGGCCATGGCTCACGGGCCCAGCCGCTCCGCGGCATGTGGGATCTTGCCAGACCAGGGCCCAAACCCGCATCCCGTGCATCAGCAGGCGGACTCTCAACCACTGCGCCACCAGGGAAGCCCTACATGATTTTTTTAAAGATATTTTATCAGGTGTAATGAGAGGGAAGAAGATAGGTGCAAGTGCAGATAGATTTAGTGGATAAAAGGTGACAGGAATTCTTGTCTGATGCCTTCTGTTTTGGTGGCAGATTTTGATGCAAGATAGAGGGTATTTTTGAAGGCATTGGTTGGCAGTGTGGATGTTTGAGAAGACATAGTCTTCTTAAAGAATGTGAAATTGAACTTAGTAGAAAATCATAGAGGAATTGCTGGTTATTATTTATGTCGTGTGTTTTCAAAGTCTCCAGATAGTCCATTGTTGACATATTTAGTATCAGAAGGAATTAAACTTTTAAAAAATTCTAATTAGTTAAGTGTTGGCTGCGTTGGGTCTCTGTTGCTGCACATGGGCTTTCTCTAGTTGAGGTAAGCGGGGGCTACTCTTTGTTGCACTTCACAGGCTTCTCATTGTGGTGGCTTCTCTAGTTGCAGAGCACAGGCTCTAGGCACTTGGGCTCGCGGGCTCTAGAGCACAGGCTCAGCAGTTGTGGTGCACGGGCTTAGTTGCTCTGCACATGTGGGATCTTCCAGGACCAGGGCTCAAACCCGTGTCCCCTGTATTGGCAGGCAGATTCTTAACCACTGTGCCACCGGGGAAGTCCCTAGTTAACTGTTTCTAACAGTTCTTAGAGCGTAGGTTGTTCAGTAATATTTTTACATGTCTATTTCCAGGAATCAAGTTTTTAGTAACTTGAATGAAAGAATTCATATTTTATCTTAATCAGAGGTTTAGTTTTTAACCTAGAAGGATTTTTACTGTTCCATCTAATGTTTATTCAAGTAAGATGATTCATTTTGTTTGTTAATATTATTATCTTAGGGAAGTACATGAAGTTATTCATTTGCAATGAATAATTTTGGTTTTTCATTTAATATTAAAACTATTTTATCAAGTTCAGTTTTTACACCCCCTAATAATTTGTACAGCTGGCTTTTTTTTTTCTTACTTGCTTTATAGTTAAGATCTGTGAAGAGTTTTAACTCTCATTAAAAGACATGGTAGGGCTTCCCTGGTGGCACAGTGGTTGAGAGTCCACCAGCCGATGCACGGGACACGGGTTCATGCCCCAGTCTGGGAAGATCCCACATGCCGCGGAGCGGCTGGGCCCGTGAGCCGTGGCCGCTGGGCCTACGCGTCCAGAGCCTGTGCTCCGCGGCGGGAGAGGCCACAGCAGTGAGAGGCCCGCATACCGCATTTTGGTAAAAAAAAAAAAAAAAAAGACATGATAATTACAGCTGGTAACATTTAACTTAAATTCAAGATGGGAGGGCTTCCCTGGTGGCTCAGTGGTTAAGAATCCGCCTGCCAGTGCAGGGGACATGGGTTCAAGCCATGGCCCGGGAAGATCCCATATGCCACGGAGCAACTAAGCCCATGTGCCACAACTACTGAGCCTGTGCTCTGAAGCCCATGAGCCACAACTACTGAAGCCTGCATGCCTAGAGCCCGTGCTCTGCAGCAGAAGCCACCGCAATGGGAAGCCCGTGCACCACAACAAAGAGTAACCCCTGCTTGCCACAACTAGAGAAAGCCCACGTGCAGTAACGAAGACCGAACACAGCCAAAAATAAATAAATTAATTAATTAAAACATTTTCAACATGGGATAAAAAAAATAATGGACTCTAAATTACCGTTTTTAGACTTGGAAGGATTTTAGAAATTGTCTAGGCCAGTGGCTCCTGACATTTTTAAGCATAAGAGTCCTTTTATATGTCAAAGCATTTCATGAACTACAAATGATAGCAGCTTGTACAGTGAGTATCAGTTGATAGAGAAAATCCATAATAGCAGGAAGTTTCTATAGACCTAAAGATTATATTTGAACCTAAATTTGTATTATAAGTTACATCATGTACATGCATGTGAAAATTCTAGTACATAAAGTGGGAACTCTTTTATTCATTCTGCAGACAGTTCATGGTGCCCGTGTGAATGCATGGTCACTTTGCAATAGCTCAGCAGCCCTACAGGGATAAAAAAATGAGAACCACCAGTTTCTTTTGGTCTAGTTCCTGTGCTCTGCCTTTACTCCTGGTCCTTTTCCCCAATTTTTACAGGTGAGAAAACTGAGGCCCAAAAAGATTAAGTAACTTGGGATCACACAGCTAGTTAGTAGCAAAAAAGTTCCTATATTTTCTCTGTTGAAATACAGGAACAGTGGAAGTTGAGTTGATAAATAGATTGAAAGAATAAACTTATCCCTTAAGGACTGGCTTTTTCTAGGGGAATAATTGAATTACCGAGGGGAATCTCATACAGCTGACATTTGAAACACTGAGAAGATAATGCTGAAAAATATATGTACTTGTATATACCGTGATAAATTGATCAGAATGTTTTTCATTTTTTCCTGACTTTATTCTAGAAGAATCAACTTGAATAAGAATGTTTTTCAAAGATTGGAAGTTACATTTCTCAGTATAGCCTACTGCGCTTCTCATACCAGCTTTCCTTACATTTAGTCACACGTAGAGGATGATTAATTTCCTTCCTATTGATAGAGAGGTCCGTGAAAGCCTAGGGAAGAAAACTGTACAACCATCTTTAGTAGCCTGCTGCTGTGTTTAATGAGACTTAATTATCCTTGCTATCAAGAAATTCATTCTTGGGCTTCCCTGGTGGCGCAGTGGTTGAGAGTCCGCCTGCTGATGCAGGCGACACGGGTTCGTGGCCCGGTCTGGGAAGATCCCACATGCCGCGGAGCGGCTAGGCCCGTGAGCCGTGGCCACTGAGCCTGGGCGTCCGGAGCCTGTGCTCCGCAACGGGAGAGGCCACAACAGTGAGAGGCCCGTGTACAGAAAAAAAAAAAAAAGAAATTCATTCTTATATTTATTTAAATCTCACGCTTCTGTTTGCTCTCAGTGTTCGTGGTAAAGATAGCAAACCACTTGCTCCTCTGGAAAGGCAGCATTTCATAATGGTCCAGCGCTGGAGCCTGCCGCAGTATCCTGGCTGAAATGCTCGCTGTGTAGCCCTGGCCATGACATTTAGACTCTCTGTGCCTCTGTTTCCTCATTTCTAAAACCAGGATGAAGCTAGTACCCATCTCACAGAACTACTGTGAAGATGAAGTGGTGTAGGAGTACTTAGAACAGTGCCTGGCCCTTAGTGAGTGTTCATTGAATGTCAGTTGTTAATAACAACTGTAGTTTTCTTACCGTCACTACTTTAAGGCATTTAGCCTTGTATTTCATGGTTAATGATTATCTGTTTCTATAATCTTTCCATTTAAAATACATTTTCTAAACCAGATTCAGCAGTATTTATGCTTTCTTTTTGGTGAGGAAATACATTTTGTTAAAAATAATTTTTAAAAAATTCATTTGAATCAGTACAAAACACTTGCCTTTAATTACTGATGTGTAGCGTATCTGATTTCCTACCTCTGTTTGAAATGAACTTCAGTTTAACAGAAATTGTCTTTATGGTTTCCTCTGAAGATTTTTTTTATTGTCACCACTGGTTAATACATAACTGAGAGTTTACTAATTTTCATGCCACAATCTAATTCGCTTTCTACAAACATCAATGTTCCTTTTCTCTTTAGTTTAGTTTAGTTTAGTTTTTTACCTTATTCTGCTTTATTTTTTGATATTAGAACATATTTATTTAACGATATTTTATGCAGGCACTTCATATCAGGCATTCTCTTTGGTTTTTAAAAACTCTTAAGAGTTATTTAATGCACTTGAAAACAGACGTTTTTTTGCAAGTTATGTTCATTTAACAAGCATTTGCTAAAAGTACTGACTACATGTCCTATGCTACATGAAGATAAATTGGGCCAGCAACCTGGAAGAGTTGGCTGGTAAAATCATTATCTACTCCTGAGTCAGTGCTCTAAAAGAGTTAAATCCCCTCGAACACTGAAAAGAGTCCCATGCAACACAGACAACAAGCAAAACTCACTAACTCTTAGAAACTTATTCTGGACATTAGCCCCAGTTCTCTCCAGTTTGATATTTTTCAGCTCTTTAATATAAGAGAACAAATTTTGTGATTTGTTTGGAAAGGAATTGAAGTAATTTTGTCTCCTTAGTAAACTGGTTTATTTTTTTCACATTTTATCCTCCAAATGGTTTAGCCAGTTTCCAGGAAACTCATTCATTGTAGGCAAAACCCATCAAATTAGCAGTCAAATGAGTTTGTTTTTTCCTCTTCTTCCATGAAAGAGATATCTAACAGAGAAAAGGTCATTTTACTTCAAGTCTTTAAAGCTAAGAAAAGGATAAGAAATGTGAATTGGTGCTCTACTTTGATGTAAATGTGGCTTTAAAAAAGCTAGGGGCTTCCCTGGTGGCGCAGTGCTTGAGAGTCCGCCTGCCGATGCAGGAGACGCGGGTTCGTGCCCCGTTTCGGGAGGATCCCACATGCCGCGGAGCGGCTGGGCCCGTGAGCCATGGCCGCTGGGCCTGCGCGTCCGGAGCCTGTGCTCCGCAAATGGGAGAGGCCACGACAGTGAGAGGCCCGCATAACGCAAAAAAAAAAAAAAAAAAAAAAAAGCTATTAGTAAAATCCTTATCAATTTTTCTTTATGATAATCACTTACTATGACTAAATAAAGTATTAGAGTTGTAAAATGTTTTTAAACAGAAGAGTCTAAGTCACTTTATAGAAAAAAGAATGTTAAGGCAATTAAGATTACTCCCAATGTTCCTCCTGGTTTTGTTAATGTACATATATGCATATGTAATTGCACTCGTCCTTTCTGAATGCACGTTCTGTCTTCCGTTTTGCATGACTAAAATGGTTTTGTGAATAGGTGCATAACAGAATTGCTATAAGAGGTTTTTCAAACGCTGAGTATTCACATTGCCACCTCATACTGTGTGGTGAAAACCACTGATTTATGTGAAATCATAAAAGGGAAGGAAGTAGAAAGAAATGAGGATTTATGTTAAAAAATATTGGAACTCTAAAAACATGTTTGTTTTTATTATATTGTTGCAAAAAGAAGGAAAGGGAGTATTTAAATCTTACTAGAAAGGGAGCCTATGTAATATTCCTGGGTAATGCCACTTATTTATTTTTTAACTATTTTTGTGGACATTTGATAATATTAGAAGATATTTATGAAAAAAATTTTAAACCTAAGGGCCTAATTTCTACTTAGTATTTTCCTTCAAGAAAGTCATAACTTAAAGCCCTGATTAAAAGGCTGTATTACCGGATGGCTGTTAGTAAGCATTGAACAAGGGTCTATGTTTTTTAAATGACTTTATGAAAATTAGAAAATTTGTCTATAGTACTTAGAGTGTGCAATTATGTTTTTCTTATAAATAATTTGGAGTAAATACATTAAAAGAGTATTCTGCATATATAAATCACTCTGCTGAATGGATACTTTTTAATTCATAAATTGCATTAGTACTCATCCTGATGGGCATATGAGTGCCTTACATATTCTAGTCAGAAAAGTCCTTGCCAAGTGAACTATTACCGCATAAGGCAACCCTTCATTTAGCAGAGCAGATATACAGTATAACCTTTTTATAATGATAATGGATTTTCTGCTTCACTCTCACCAATATCTAATAATAAACACTTATTGGACATTTCACCCTCCTTTTCTCTTATATGACACTTTCTACCAACAGTACCAAGTATTTCCAAACTGATGAATGAAAGTGAATATGCTTTATCAGCATTTTATCTTAGGGCAGTCTGTTTTATAACATGGATCCCATGACAAGTGTTTATGGCACAATTTCTGTATTTTGGAAGTGGGCATTTTGCTAAGGAAAATCTGAAAAGAGCTGATTTCACTTTTAGTGATTGTTAATTTAATAAAGCTGATGTGAGGAGGGATTTTTGAAGTCCTTGAAGTACGTGGAGGGATAATTTTGATACTTAATCAGGCCTAAAGTACTTTTTAAAAATAGGAATCTTTTGTATATTATTAAGCCAGCTATTGGAATAATATTATTCCAAGTTACTAACTTTTGGAAAATTTATAATGTAGCAGATTTTATGATATTTTGGAAAGTTTTTATGGTGAGACTGTTTCTTTCCTGACAGGTGTATTCCTTGCAAAGGTTCTCGATTTCCTCCCACCCTTCCACGCCCTGCTGTAGCTGTATTACCCTTTAAGCTTCCTTACTGTCAGACTGCCACAGAGAAAGGACAAATGGAGGTATGCACAAATCTTACCTTGACACTCTGAGTTTGATAATAGCCTGCCTGTGACACAGACATTTAAAATTATTCTGATGACCAGTGTTGAGTATTCATTACTTTATAATTAAAGAAATAGCAGTAGCTGTGAGGGAAGAGGACTGCTTCCAGGGACTTTGTCTAAGAGGTAAATGGGTGTGACTGTCAGGGCCTCACTAGGGTAAGGCGCTCACTCTCGGGCTTGGACAAGTGCCTAAGAGGACGTGCCTTCATGAATTTTGTACCCTTAGGCGCCAGGCTTGCCTCACCTTACTCCTAGCCCTGCGTCATCAAAAGTCATTCGATATCTTGCAGTTAGTTATTCTGAACAAGAAACAAATCAGCTTATAAAAATCTAGTTTACCAATTTCTCTGAGCATCAACTGTGATAGCTAGGAAACTTTAAAATGCTATATACAGTTGACCCTTGAAGAACATGGGTTTGAACTGTGTGGGTCCATTTATACATGGGTTTTTTTCAGTAGTAAACACTACAATACAGCACCATGCAAGATTGGTTGAATCTGAGGATGCCGAACCTCAGATATGGAGGGACCGCATATATATGGAGGGCTGACTATAAGTTATATGCAGATTTTCAACTACACAGAGGGTAGGCATCTCTACCTGCTATATTGTTCAAGGGTCACTGCATTTCCCTTTTTTTTTTTTTTGAAGGATAGAAGATAAAGTCAAGCCATAATATCACATTAGAATTGTAAAATAAGCTGTAGAAAGGAATATTTCAGAAAATATTTTATTCAGAAACTGGTGTCATATGATAAATGTTTAACACTTGCGTGGTATTCAGCTGATAGTTGGCTCTAAGCAGTTTTTCCACTTTTGCAGGAACAGTACTGGCGTTCAGTTATGTTTCACAACCACCTTGATTATTTAGCTAAAAATGGTTATGAATATGAAGAGAGCACTAAAAATCAAGCAATAAAAGAACAACAGGAACTTTTAATGAAAATGCTTGCGGTGAGTAAAATAAGTATAGTGGGGAAGAAAAGTTAATTTGTTTTCTCTAGGTTGAATTTCTTAATGGTATGTGAATTAGCACCAGGTTCCACAGCCTAGAATTCCTAAGTTGTATCTGGTGGTGTTTTTCTCCCATAAAAGTTCTGTTTCCCAGTTCACGTTGCAGATAAAATATTTAAGACATTGCCTTGTATCTAAGATCATAGGAAGAAATAAACTCTTCTGGTGCTATCTCCATTTTTTGTTTTTGCCGACTGGTCTGTGTTTTAATAGGCCCTGTAGGTGATTCAGATGCTTATTAATAAAGTTTGAGGCCTGGCTCTAGCTCCTGCTCTTATCATGTGCAGCAAATAAAGTTTGAGTGTAGACTTTTAGGTCTGCAGGCTGAGCAGTCTTAAGAACTTTGATCAGGCTTTTAGATATGCCTGCCTTTTGTTATCCTCTTAGGTAAAAGTTTGTCTGTAGCCAGTGACCAGGTTTGGTCCCCTGGATATTTAAGTACATTAATCTTTAGAGATAAAAAACTTTTTGAAACATAAGATTCATAAGTTTGTGTCCTCATTCCAGGTTGGCTTATGAGGAGGAGTATAATGTAATTTCTTCTGTGCTCTTCTTGCACTAGACTGTAAACACCTTGAGGACAGTGACCATGTCCTGTTTACTAATGTATGCCAGGCACTGATGTAGCGTCTGATACATAGTGCACCTCAGTATTTCCTAAGAGAGTAAATGGCCCAGACTTCCCATTTTAAAGTTGAGGAGAAAAACTTCTGAGGGCAAAGTGATATCTGAGACCACAGAGCTTATTGTAACTTGTCTCCAAAAGGTGATATTCACTACTGTCACCTCTATGCAACACTGCCTTGCATTTAGTATTAAAGAAATTTAATTAGTTTACTATAGAGTAAGTTTTGTTCCATTCACAAAGTCCCATTTGTACACCAACATGAACTAGTAACCTTATTATTTTCTACAACTTATGTAAGGAAACATGTTTGATTTATTGACCATTTAGCCTTAGAGGAGCTTTTCCGCTGGAGTGCAGTGTTCCTCAGCAGGGTGCTAGTAGCATCCTGTTAGT